TTTTCCGTCAACGAAGTTAAAACAAATATAGTGTTTCCTCTTCGGAATCAATTTCGCTACAGGCTCCTGTCTGTACTAAAGTTAAAACCGACGACTTCCGTTGATTTTACCACGAAGATAATGACGAAAATATTCGTAGACGAGTCTAAAGCTAGGGTCCCACGGCATGCCAGGCGACAGGCCGCGCCAGGCGTTGCCCCGCCTGAATGGGCCTGTCGCGGCCCGTACTGAGCATTCCCACGGCGTGTGCCGGCCTGGTGCGGCCTATCGACTGACATTCCAACATGTTAAGTGATACGGAGCCCAAGTCTGCGTATGCAGCCGCTATGTGTTTTATTTAGTGGTGAACGTTTGATAAACCAAGTAAAAAGAAAGCAGAAGTAACGACGCTGGTGGGTATCGTCATTCATCAAAAACCGTTTTGTTTTTATGTTGAGGCGACGAACTATTCCAAAGTGCTGGTTTATTTTCATAAAGAGTTAAAAACTCGAATATAAGCTCGTTCGTACACTCCATAATCAGTGTAAACGCGCAGGCGCCACCCCAATTGAAATGAACGATTGTAACCAACGCAGATGCGCCCTTACAGGCTGCGACAGACACCTTCGAGTCGCGCCGCGCCGCGCTGCGCCTTTGAACTTACCGACTCCCGATGGATCGGATAGGCGACAACAGGCCACCGCAGGCCTCATTGGATGCGATGGTTCCCACGGCCTGTTGGTCTGGCCTGGCGCGGTCTGACCTGTGACAAAGCATGCCGTGAGACTCTAGCTTACGGCAGCCCCTAGCGGACCAGCTTGTATAAGGCAGCTGCTAACAGCCGATATGCGTTAACGGCAGTAGCTACATGGTCGCTACCCTGTCGTCGACAAACTGCCTTTTGTCATTATACGCAGTTACCTAGCATTACATTATCCATAATCGATTATCTGTTTCGCTATGATGTAGTTAAAATCTTCGTTTAAAAATTATGATAATATGAGGCAGTATTATATTTTCGTGAATTAAATTATAATATGCCAGACTAGGCTGCACGAGCAGTAAACCTCTATCATTTAAAAAAAATGTCACTGATTGATTGTTATAAAGCAGTGTTGTCACTTTAGCGATTTTATCACCAGGTGTGGTAACTGCGGTTCCCTTTGATGACTTAATTCTACGGAATTCTATTTACTGGGTGAACCGATTTCGATGACTCTTTTTTTATTTGAAAGCCGATACTTTTCGTGTGGTCCCATATGATTTTGATCAAGGTCATACCAATAGTTATTAAGTTATTCTTAATGACTTATATTGAAGTCGGCTGTACAAAATTTGTAATTTTAAATTATATTATAAAAATATTCAACATTAATACATCATCCTAAGGTTTATCTGTTATTAAGTTTGATTAAATATTGCTGTGATATTATTGTGACTACGATGATATTAAAGTTATCGATAACATTTTATCTCGGCCCTGTTTATTCCATTACCGTTACAGCCTACCAAAGTCATCTGCTGGTCATAGGCCTCTCCCATTTGCATGATGCAGAGCCTGAGAAGACCCTGAAGACTTAGGCCAGCATAGGAGGCCAGCCGGATCTGATGCAGGACCAGAGAAGACACTAAAGGCTTGACCTGGAACTGAATAGCTGCAGGGAGTAAGAAACCGGGACTGCTGCTGGGATGGCCATTGAATCCAATCTGTGTCGCCACAAAGGGGGCGATAAGAAGCAGTAAGCTGTGGACATTCGTAGAAGCAAGAAGACTGTAGCCGGGCGAGAGTGCTTGTGTAAGGCACTGACTGCGGTCGGGCGAGAGTGCTTGTATAAGGTACTAACTGTGGTCGGGTGAGAGTGCTTGTGTAAGGCACTCGACTGCGCGGTGGCCGGGTGAATGCGCCTAGGCAAGGCGTCATTGGCGACTGGATAGCGGAGCGCGAACCTTATAGGGAGGGGGTGTTGAAGAAGTTATCGTTCATACTCAAGTAAATGGTGAGTAATATAAAGCCTTTCTCTTTTATTTTTTAAAAGCCAATCACGCGAATATTATTGAAATGGTGCACAATTGTTAGTACATATTTCTTTCTAGAGTATGTGTGATTTTGGCGACAGTGGTTCTGGTACAAATAATGCGTTTTGCTACTTCCTCTTGTTTTTCTACTGACTTCAAAAAGGAGACAGTACTCAATTAGACTCTATCTTCTTTTATGTGTGTTACCTCAACTTTTTTCTGGATGAACCGATTTCGATGATTCTTTTTTTATCTGAAAGCTGGTGCATATAAAATGATCAAGGTCTGACCAATTGTTTTAAGTTATACTTAATAATTTATGTTGAAGTTAGAAATTTTTTGATTTTTAAATATCATACTCCATATTAAATTCTGTCATTTTGCAAATTTTATTGTTCTAACGACTTCTAGCAGCATTTAGGTTGTGTGTCCACCAGAAATGTGCGAGGTAGCTGGGCGGTGCGAGGATACGTAGCGAGGCATGTAACGGTGTGAGCGTTTCCACCAGAGATATGCTAGACCACTGAGCGGTGCGAGGATGCGTAGCGACACTGTGAAACAGTGCGCAGATGAGTGGTGCGAGGATACGTAGCGGACTCGTTTCAGATGCGAGCAGGGTGAGGTGTGGTGTGGGCGGAGCCCTCGCATACATCCCTCATATACATTTCTCGTAAGACATCCCTCGCAACACATCCCTCGCACATATTCTTCTCTTATTTTGTAAGTACAAAAACCTCGCTCCGCTGAGCCGTTTCCGCTAGAGCTATGCTGGGCGAGGCTAGCCAAATGAAGTGATTTTATTGGTTCTTAAGAAACACATCCCTTGCTACACATCCTCACACATATCTGGTGGAAGCGCAGCTTAAACCTAGCTATCTTTAATGTAAAGTTTCCATGAAATATCAATTAAGTATTAGTTTTACATTTTTACTTGCTATTTATTTTATTGTAAAAAATAAAAGTAAAATTATTTTCACAAGAAACCAGCTGTGAAAACTAATAGCTTCAAATAATAATAATAATAAGTGTTTATTTCAGACGTAAGGAACATACATAGATTGTTAGTATGTTAGTAACAATTTTTCCTTAACTTGTAAGTTAGTATTGTTAGTTAATGTGAATTGTGTACAAATTATTTTTTTCGCCCAATAGCTACCGTTATTTTACAGTTAAGTTACAGTGGTGCAGTATGGGGCAGTCGGGCCTGGCAGCAATTACCCTTAGGATGCCGTTGTTGCTGGTATGTAAGCGCTGCAGGAGAGACGCTGCTTTTCTACGCATTATGGCGAAAAAGTCATTAGTGTGTGCGTCTGCGAACATTTTGGCGAAAAAGTCATTAGTGTGTGCGTCTGCGAACAAATGTAACTAGCCCGATGATGTGGTGATTAAAAGCGTGGTAGTGTGGTGGTATATATTATTTGTGTTAAACACAAATAAAATATAAATACATATTATATACAACTGCGTTTTTTTCATATGATGTATTGGTTTTACTAAACATGATTAGTGATTTCTGTTGACTTTTCGTTTAAACTTAGACGAATTTAGCTTAATATAAAATACTTTTGGGAATTGATCTAACGATTTTAATTTATGGCAGCACTGTCAAGCAGTGCTGCCATATTTACAGATTTATCTGTGTTCATACAGATTTTTGAACCTCATTACAGATAACAGATTTAATACTACTTTTATACAGATTTTTGAAATTTCACTTTTTGTACATAAATACATTCTAGGATCGCCTTTCTACTCATCAGTCTACTCGATAATATCGCGCCTGTGTGTAAGAGGTTTAACAATAATCAAAGCTAGCAATACTGACTGGCGTAAAAAATCTACTCTTGCTTGTTATCGGGGAGTCCCCCGTATTATAAATAAACTTATACCAGTTCGGCGCAATCGTGATTCGTGTGATAGTGGCGACGCTATACGGATCGCATATCCAACGAAACAGTTTAATAGTTTGTTTGGTTTGATACACATGAACGAAGGCGCGAATCAAGTGAAAATAAAGTGAAGTAGGTGTTTTTTAATATTTTTGTGGACAATGGCCAGTAAGAAACCCCGTAAAGCTCAAACGTTTAACCAAAGCTGGATGGAAGAGAGTTACTTTAAAGCTTGGCTAATGCCAAGTCAAAAAGGAGCGGAATATGCTTTCTGCAAATTTTGTTTACAAGATCTTGCTGTCTCCGGCGGAGGTAAAAATGATTTGGCACGTCATATTAAAACATTAAAGCACCAAAATTCTGTTCCATCCTGTTCGTCAAAGCAGAGACCCGTGAATGATTATTTTCAAAATATTAATATTTTAACTGATACTAAGAAAGGAGAAATCCGTTTAGCTTGTTTTATTGCAGAGCACAATCTGCCCATGACTATAATGGAACACCTTCCACAACTTATTAAGAGTGTCTGCCCAGATTCAAATATAGCTAAAGAAATATCTTGCAGCCGAACTAAAACTACGGCAATCCTCAAATCTGTTACAGGGATAACAGAAAAAGAAAACTTAATAATTACTTTACAAAATAATAAATTTTCTTTGTTGATCGACGAGAGCACAGATAGAAGTTGCACTAAGCATTTATGTATTGTCACTAGATTGTGTATTGGCAACAATATTAAAGATGCTTTTTTTGCCTTAGTTTTACACTAGCAGCACAGATTTCATACAGATTTTCTTTGATTCCTTTCTACAGATTTTATACAGATTTTTTAATTTAACAGTACAGATTTGTTAAACTGACATGTGGCAGCACTGCTGTCAAGTGTCAATCGATTGTCAAATAATTGTATGGATGCTGTTGCTGTGGTTGTTCGTCTTCGATTTCTATATTTTGTTTTTAGAGATTTTATTTGCATTAGAAAGAACAGAAATACTATGATAGGTTCTTTCATACTTTTGAAACCAAAGAAAATTTGTATGAGATATTCACTAGTGTATTAATCATAGACCGTACATAAATATGAACTGATTCGCCTAAATTTTATTACAAGATATAATGGCCAATTCTGTTAATATTTCTATCGAAGCTCCTATTGAAAATCAGATTCAAGAAATCACCTACGATGGTCAAGAAATATATCAAGCGTAAGTGCTCTTGAACACAATAAATAACATGCTTTCATTTAAAATCTAACTTTATATACCATATCTATAACAAACTTAAAATTGTTTTCAGACCACTATCTATGTCAGAAAACCTCGCTAGATTAGCACAAAAGATAGACTTTTCAAAGACTGAGGATGAATTCTGTAATATTAAAAAAGAGGGAGAGAGTACTTCAGAGACTAAATCTGAAGATGAGAGTAAAGAGCCAGGATATCAATCAAGCCTGTGGCCATGGGATTCTGTGAGAAATAAGTTAAAAAATGCACTTACTGAAGTGTGTGTACTGGCTGACGTCCTAAGCATTGCTAAAGAGAAGAGGTACATGGTAAGTTAGTGTATATTCAATTTTATAGGCTTTACACAGTTAATGTATACTATTAGTCTTAGGCCTGCTCAGTAATTTTAAAGATTGCTTCATACTACTTCATTACGGACAGTGAACTAATTTGTTCTATTAGTTCTATTCAGTCATTCAATTTAAACTGTATTTATCTATAAAATCTATATAGAATGGTTATCTCAGTCAGTGAGTCTCGGTCTCAGTCGTTAGATATCTTCTCGAATCATAATGTTGTTTTATCACTCGTACACACACACTTGATAATTTCTTGGTCAAAATAAAAGTCTAAAGCAAATTAGTGTTGAAAAAATAATTAATGTTAATGAAATAAAATCCCATATTCATAACATGTGAAAATAAAAAGCATCCAAGGATGAAATCAATATTAAAACAATAACAAAAAGTTGAAAAAAAAAAAAATTATCATCAAAAATTGTTATAATATTCATACATAGATACCTAGTCAGGTCATAAATTCTGTCACATGTTTAATATAAAATAACTGAAATAAGGTTATTCATTATGTAACCATTTATATACCAAAATGAACTTAACAAAACATAGATTCTTATGACACTAAAGTTTATTCAAAATGACCTCCGTGATTTTGAATACAGGCCTTCAATCTGCACGGCCAGTCGTCTATCGCAGCACGAACGAGGTCCATGTCAATATCGGCGGCTGCCTTAATCAAGGATGTCTTGAGTGACTCCAAATTGGGATGAGGCTTTGAACACGCCTTTTCCTCCAAGTGTTGCCATATCTTGTAATCTAACGGATTCAAATCTGGAAGGCCAGTCTTCGTGCCGGTTGAAGTCGATTTCATGCGCCGCCAGCCAGTCTTGTGTGCTCTATGAGCTGGCGCCGAATCTTGTTGGAATACCCAGTGCCTGTTATTGAACATGGTATGAGAAACAGGTTCCACAAAGTTCGTCAGGACTGTATTTTGATACACAACTGCATTCATTTTTACACCTTACTCACAAAAATGTACCTCTGTTAAGCCCCAATAAGAAACTCCAAACCATACCATGAGTGAGGATGGAAAATGACCTCGTTGGACACGCGGAATACGGTTGCTCGCTTCTTCACTACTGTGTGCGTACACCTTATCATTTTGTTTGTTATAGCTCTCTTCTACGGTAAAAATTTTTACATCCGAAAAAAGAATTTCCCAATATTTTTTTCCCGCATACCGCTTCAACAAAGCGCGGCATCTCTTCAGTCTCAGGTCCATTAGACGAGCATTCAAACGATGTCCTGTTTTTCTTCGATATGCCCAAAGCCCTAAGTCTTCATTTAACACCCTTTTCACCGTGGTTCTGCTTAACCCCATCTGAAGGGCCAACAGCTTCTGCTTACGTTTGTGATTTCTTTGAATTCGTGCCTTCACAGCTTTATCACTGCTGGAGTCCTAACAGACCGAAGGCAACGACTTCTTGACCTGTCATCTACACTAGAGTCTTCATTGTATCGTTTGATGGTACGATAAACGAATCTTTTGGTTATATTCAAATTTTTCAGTATGTCAAAAATTGGAATTGGCGCGTAACCGCAACGATGCAATGCAATAACTGCAACACGGTCTTCTTTAAGCGTCCACTCCATATTTAAAAATTAGTAAAATTCTAAAAAGTATACAGTTTTATTTTCATGAACAATTCAAAATTCGAATTCAATAAACTTTTTTGTGGCCAGCATTTTAAAAGAAAAGTTTTTACTATGTGACAATACTTATGACCTGACTAGGTATATTAAAGAATACATGACTGATAATCACCACTCGGAATGAGGTGATCGCTACTATACTGTTTCTAAATGTTGTCATAACAATTGTATAAAATATTATATTGTATATTGTGCTTTTTAAAATAAAGTCCCGCTGGGTTTCTGGGTTCTTCCCAGGACAGAGGTTTTTTTTTTTGCGAACCAGTGGTAAAAGTAAAAAATGAATTTTTCTTTCAATAAGTATTATGTATTCTATATTGAATATAAATGATTCTATTCTATAGCCAACCCTGATATATTTCTGAAATATTATAAAAGTTTTGGGTATCACAACTAAACTAACTTATTATATATATATTTAAATATGTTTTACACAATTATTAAATCAACCACAATAAAGATAATATTTTGTATTATAGCATTGAACAGTGAGATTCTTGCCTTTACAGATGTGTACAACTGTCTTATTATGCTGTATGATGAAATTGAAGATATGCTATAAATTGACTTTAAGCACTTTGGAAATATTACTTTTAAATTTTGTGGAGTCACTAATTGATTGCATGATGGCATTATTGCTTTTTACATCATTAACCTATAATTTCATTTCAAACAGGTGCTTGATCCAATTCAAGCTGAGCCAGTAGATAGCAGACCAATGGTACAAGTATATGGACGTAAAAAAGCATTAGGTGCTGCTGGAGCTGTTCTCTTGGCTGGCGTTGAACGACTGCGAGCTAGTGAGACCATGAGAATGACACGCAATATGCCAGACTTTCACATAGACCTATTGCGTCTTAGACAGAATTGGCGATTAAAAAAAGTCTCCAATACAATTGTTGGAGATTTAAGTTATAGAACTGCTGGTTCCAAATTCAGTCAGACAGGAGTCTTTGAGGTAATTTTTTATTGTTATGTAACTTTTGAACGTGGTAGAGCCATACTGCAGATACATTATGATTGACACAAATGGGTCGGCTCCACGCTCTCACAGAATACCAGCGTAAAATATCAGCTCAATGTTGCTGTGTTACATATGGTGAGTGTAGAGAACCAGACCCTTTTTACTGGAAATGAGGCATTCCATTTTAGTTCTCAGGGGTGGCAACGCATCTGTATTTGATTCTTTATCAAGGATAGATGTAGATATTTATGGGTCACAGCAACCACTTACCATCAGGTGGACTGTGTGCTCGTTTGTCACCCTATCCTATAAAAAAATTGTGTACCGTCTGTAAAATACGTACTTATTATTGCCATGTTTTGGAGAAAAAGATTCATCACCATATTTTGTCTCCCAGGTGTCATAAGAGGCCACTGTGGGACACGATAGAAATATCTTATGGCCACCAATGTATGACGGTATGACGATCATTTCGTTGATGCTAGATATTAAATAGTCTTAGGAAGTTAGAGAGTCGCACATGCAGTGGCGTCAGATATTCCACTACACCGTATCATACCGTGCGTATCGTATGAGGCGACGGAGAGAAATGAAACAGAAGGATGGGCAGTAAAATCTTCTCAATCAAGGATAAATATAGATTTTTATAGGCCACAGCATCCAGTTTCCATACATTACCAGTTGGAACTGTGTGCTCGTTTGTCACCCTTATTCTATAACAAAAGCTTAGTTAAGCTATTAACTGACTTGAATAAGCTAGACATTTTTTGTTTGGGATGTATTTCTTATTTTTAATAAGCTTACTTCTGCCACCAAATAGCAGTGCATGCACTGCTGTATCGTTCTGAATGGTATAAAGATTTGATATAATTACAGGCTCGAAGGTGGCAACACATCTGTAGTCTGCTTTATTTGAAGTTGTTTTCAGGTGTCTATGTACTGTAAGTTTGTCACTTCAATTTTATATAAAAACGCTTACGGTCCCGTGTGATAGCAAGGGGCTACTGCATTCCACAAATGCCTACCAAGAGATGAAATATCTTACAAGATGTAATTTTACTAACTTTCTTACACTGTTTATTGACTGCATTTTGTTTAACGGCGGTACTTCACTTCTCGTATAATTTTATTTGTATTTTTTTTTAGCTAAACTAAATTAAAAAACTAACAAATTAAAAATACCAACCCACTTACAAAGTCTGTCCCAGGATCCTTAGACTTAAAATGTTGTACATAATTTTTTTTTAATTAAAAAAAAAAACGTTACCTCCACACTAGGATTTTTTCTTGTATCGTGGGGGTCAGTTTTAGGGATGGGCAATCGATATTGTTAAACAGTATCGATATATATCGCGTGATAAATATCAATATTTCGGCATCATTTGAATGATGTAAGAATAAGGCCCAAAATTTTACATTACTGACGGTAGGACAACGAAAAAAAAGGCGACAACCACACATGGATGCTTTTGTAGTTTCTTTTGTTGTTTCATATTTTGCCCATTAATACAACATTTTGAAATATATCGAAATTGATACTAATTTGATACTCATAAAGTAAATATCGATATATCGCGATTAAAACTATCGACGATATATATCGATATTTTAATTTTTTAAATTGGATCAAAATTAAATAATTTTTTCTATTTAAACAAAGACATTAAAGCCTTGAATAAGTTCATAGGTTTGTGCTATTTATCAAATGTTATTTTAACATCATATTACAGGTTACCAAAGCACCAGAAGAACAGATAGCACAAGCTATGAGTATGAATGCATCTGGACCAGCTCCATCTGCATTGCGAGTTACAGTCCCTCCAGAGTTACAAGGAGTGGCTTTTATCTCAGTTCTCTGTCAGAAAGGTAAGTTATGCCACTCATTTCTATTTAACCTTTTTTTTTAATCGTCTTGAATATTGACATTTATTTCGACTTTTGCAAAATTATTTATTTAGAATAATTTTATACAAATTTTCAGATACACATTCTGTAATTTACTATTTTATGGTAGTTATGCACACCATAGTAAAATTCTTAGTTACACTTCATTATAGAGCAAGAAGATGTAGTGACAGCAACCCTGAGCTCCTCAGCACTAAACTGCCCTGGAACACTTCCTGGTGATGGAGCAGAACTACACTGGCAGCAGAAATTAGAAGCAGCCCAGAATGTTCTTTTCTGCAAGGAACTGTTTGCTCGCCTTGCAGCTGAAGCCGTCCAGTTAGATGCTACTATACCACATATGGTGGTAGGAAATCAGATAATGGCTACAGTAAGTTTCTGCATTACTCTATGCAAAATACAATATTCTATATCAGGGTTTCCCAACCTTTTTTTGACCAAGGACCACTTTGATTTCTTTATTGTTAGCAGGGACCACAAGGTGAAAGAAAAATCTTGTTAATCTAACAATACATTTTAATCACTATTTTTAACATAATTATACAATAAACTGAAAAGAAGCATAATTATTTCTTATATTTACGCGAACACTATACATTTAAATAAAACTAATTTTACGGATTTTATCGCGTATATTAATTTTATATTCCCGACGTTTCGAGCACTTTACAACACCCATGGTCACGGGGGGGACTGAGGTGTATGACATACCAATGTCATAGTTAACCACGGCTGCCTCAAGATTAAAAATTATTAATTCATATAGCGTATATCAGAACAAAAATTAATAATTTTTAAAATTACCACAGCGACCACTTACCATCAGGTGAACTGTGTGCACGCTTGTCATCCTTTTCCTATAAAAAAAATGTTTACTAACAAATTGCAATTTTGATTGCGACGCGACCCGTGCTTATTGCACTGCCCGCGTGACGAGAAAATAATAAATGTGTTATTTAAGAGGATTAGGTAGGTAAATTATTTAAGCTCTAGCGTACCACTGGTTGGGAATTACTGTTCTATATAATAGAAATATATTGACTAGCAGTAAAGTCAATTTAATGTAGAACATGATTTATTATACCTTTTCTATGTCGTTTACAATTTACTCAATGAAAATGAGATAGCCCAGTCATAGTACAGATAAATAATTTTTCTTTTCTTAGGTTCTACCTGGCATCCAGTTGCTAATTGGGCTGTGCCACAATAACGGTCAAAACACCAGTAATGCCAATCCTGAAGGAGTTAAGGTAATTTTTATATATTGGTTTACATTTGGCATACATATAAACCACGCATTCGAACCAAACGGTTTGCTTCATCGTCCTTAACGCGTACAGCAAAGGAGTGGAAGCGTCTGCCAGCATGTCTTTTCATCCTATTATAATGTGTGTGTCTTCAAGACAAGAGAGAATAGATTTTTGTTAAGTTAAGCCTGTGTGCTTTACCGTCTTCGGTTAAAACACCACTTACGTACAGTAGTCAAGCACTGGCTTATGGCTTATAATAATAATAAAAATTTGACATTATCATTATCACTTATATTGTACCATAATTAAAATACAATAAAAATAACATAAGTATAGTTTTGCACAGTGAATTTCTGTTTTGTTTTATTACTCGAGTATATTAAAATTAAAATATTTATAGGTAGACCGGCAAACGTTGTTTTGACATATAAGTACATTATTTCCAAGAAATATTTTTTAGTTTTAAAAATCGCGTTTAAAAAACAGGGGTTGATCGTAGAAGGGTGAAAATTTGAAGTTTTATATATTTTTTAATGCTAAATCATAATAAAATAAAAATAAAAAAAATTGTCGAAAAAATAAAAAAAATATTAGGGGTAGATCACCCTTATCATTTAAGAGTTTGAAAAATAGACGTTGGCCGATTCTCAAACCTACCCGATATGAACAAAAAATTTCATACAAATCGGTTCAGCCGTTTCGGAGGAGTTTGGTAACAAACACCGCGACACGAGAATTTTATATATATTTATATGTAGATGCAGGAGTTTAAGTTTTAACAATAAATTAGCTGTTATATCTTTACTCAAGTTTTCAAAGAAAGCTTATGTTTATTTGATAATTCACGATATTTAAAAAAAAACTTAGGTATTTTTATAATTCAGACATTAGTTTTTTAATTCACAATCTTTCCTTACATATAGCACTTAATATACATTGACATAAGCTATTCCATCAAGTTAATTAAACAAATAATTAGAATGCGGTCACTCCGCTCGCATTTCTCCATAGGTATCATCTCACCTTAGTACCGTGTAAAGGATCAATATGTTCTTGTTCTGTTTAAAATGACGACGATTTGAAACATTGTAATTAGATCTTTAATGGGTTGTGTGAAATGAAAATAACCTTGCTAATTTGGGAATTTACATAACAGCGAAAATTTTCTTTACATCTGTACAGACTGAGGGTTCGAGCGGCAAATCAGATCACGATCATGTGTTAGAACATTCGCTCCATCAACTGTTGCGCGCCGTCCACCACAACAACACGCACCACCCGTTCCCGCACCCCGCCACCGGCCCGCTAGGACCCTCAAAACGACGCTCGCTCGCAGGTGCGACAACATATACCACTGTGACACAACAACATGCACCACAATGACACAACAACATGCCCCACAATGACACAGCAACATATACCACTATGACACAACAACATTCACCATAATGATACAACATTATGCACCACAATGAGTCAACAACATGTACTACCGTGACACAACAACATGCTCCTAATAATACAGCAACATGCACCACAGTGATAAACATTATGCACCACAATGACACAATAATATGTACCACCGTGATACAACAATATGAACCACCGTGACCCAACAATATGCACCCAATAATACAGAAACATGCGAGTGTCGTGGAACACTCGGTTGAAACGAAGTTCCCTTCGTAGTCTGTATATTATTATTGATAAACGTATTATATTATTGATTAACATATACAAATAAATGAATTACTAGCGTCTATTAAAATGATGCGTCAGTTAAAATAATGCCATCAAAAACATAACTTGTAAAAAAAATCCCAAGTCTCGCAACTCAGTTCTTCTACCGTAAAAAGTTGTGAGATCCATGTAATACCAAGTCGGTTAATTTATTCAGTCCCTACTTAAGGACCCTTCTGTCTCAAGTTATTACGTAATTAGCTAACCTAACAACATCTTATAGTGACCATATCAATATTAAAAATCTTTTATGTTTTAAATAAGTACATAGATTGACTTGGCCATCGCATGAAAACACAATGTATCTCACAAGTAATACATATTATATTAAATTAGATGGTTTTGTGCGATTGCCAAGTCAATCTATGTACTTATTTAAAACATAAAAGATTTTTAATATTGATATGGTCACTATAAGATATTGGTAGGTTAGTTAATTACGTAATAACTTGAGACAGAACGACCCTTAAGTAGGGACTGAAAAATTAACCGACTTGGTATTACATGGATCTCACAACTTTTTACGGTAGAAGAACAGAGTTGCGAGACTTGGATTTTTTTTACAAGTTATGTTTTTGATGGTGTCTCATTTCTTTTTGTAGATAGTCCTACTTTTTTTCCTTTCCGGTACCATCTACTTCTAGAATACCAACTACGGATATTCGAGCAATTTAGTCTACTTAATATCTTGCGGGATTTTGGTACAACTTTATAAGCCATGTCCCATTCTTGCTTTTTCATTTCGTTGACCATTTTACAAGTTATCTTTGAACATAATTATATCTAGGTACCTATTTACATCTATTATTCCATTATATTATACATAATATACAGGTAACCTGATTCATTCACTGCAAATGTAACTTTGTAATCCTATATATTTATATAGGATTACAAAGTTATTTATGCAGTTGGTGTATATAGAAAACTGGAACGAAATTACAAAATATTTTAATTTTTCCTTAATTCATACACTAAACACTAATTGTATTCTAAATTTGAAGGTTCTACGTCTGCTAGAAGTACTTTGGAGTTTTGATGATCGGTCAGTCAGTGAGTGACAAAATTAAGAAATTTTGACTAGTTATAATTCTTAAATTACTGGTTAAAATTGAATGAAATTAGAAATATACCGTGTTTATACAATGCATGCTTGGTTACTAAGAATTCAGGTTTCTAGTTTTATCCTCAATGAAGTTATAGGGGGTCGAAAATGGCCTGAACTGCTTCGAGAAAAGGATGGTACGGCCGTGCCTTTTTTTTGCTCGACTTGGCGGGGGCACTGCCGTGCCTGCCGTTTCTGGGGAGAAACAGTATTTCTTTCATGGCAAGATAAGAAAAAGTGCGTGGGAGATGGTTATTATTCCATCTCGCTTCCTTATAACCGCCAAGGCCGTCTACACTACGCCAGAAGGGGTCGTGACGGAAAAATCTTATACTTTTCTCGCCTAGCCCCCATCCGCCAAATTCGTACAGTTCATAAGGAACTTCGTTCCAAAATTCTTTTATTTTCAAGAGCTATTACAAAGATTTCTCGAGTTTTCCCTTTAAGCTCTTAGTCATAGACATTTCTGTTGGGAATAACTCGCTACTTCCCTTACCCTATCCTTACTTTGTTCCAGTCTGAAGGGTACAGAGAGCCAGTAAAATTGCAGGCTGTGACGCGTTAATTGAAATGAAAACTCCTTTTTTTTGTATACATATGGAATTAAAATTTTGTTTGACAAACGTCAACATGTTTTATAATCTACTATCGTTGCAAAATGCCCAGTTTCTCTGTCCGAAAATGAAATGGTGGAAGTAACTCTGTAGGTATCCTCTTTTCTGTCATTCCATCTCAGTCGTCAGGTACGTGATAGAGCCATGCTGCAGCTATATTAATAGTATAGTTGTAGCACGAATGGGTCGGCTCGACCGGGGAAGGACCACGCTCTCACAGAATACCAGCGTAAAATAGCAGCTTAATGCTGCTGTGTTTCGTATGGTAAGTCTAGAGAACCGGAGACCCGTTTTACTGGAAAAGAGGCATTCTATCTTAGTCCTCACGGCTGACAACGCGTCTGCATTTTAATTCGCAAATGAAGATAAATGTAGATGTCTATGGGCCACAGCAACCACTTACCATCAGGTGGACTGTGTGCTCGTTTGTCACTCTTATTCTATAAAAAAAAGTCCTCAGTGACAACGCGTCAGTAGACTTCTTAGTTTGAAGTTGTCTGCAGCAGGTGTCCATGGTGCAATGGACACTAGTAGTGACTATTGCAGTCTGGTAGTAGTTCTTTTGTCACTTCAATTCAAAAAAAATGCAGTAACATAACACTATTTCATATATATATCATATATAAGCTCTCATTTCTAAGATATGGCAGTTTCTTTTTCTAATTTATTCCCTTTCTTCTTCATTATCCGGAACTGGAAATGGGTCCTTCTCTCAAAGGGGGATCTACCATATTCGCCACGCTTGTGAGACGGCTTCCGTCGCTGGTCATTTTTCATCTGGTATTAATACTCGTACCTGATGATCATTAACCCGTCATCTATTGGCGACTAAAAGTCTTTCTAGCACTTTCCATACTCGCATCTTGGATTTCCTAATATATGTAAAATATTTTACCAGGTCCCATGGCAGCAGACCGGTATGAGTTGCTAGAGATGAGCAAGGAGCAGTCGCTCCTCGAGCAGATAATCCAACAAGCACAACATTTCTTCATGCGTAGGCGCAGCGAATATGTGCTGGATACTATTGCAAAAGAGGTACACATGGTTTTTCAATATTATTTTCTCAAATGTATGTATTTATGTATGTGTATATTATGTATATCATATTTTGTACATTCCTTTGTGAGCTCCTGTAATTTAAAATGTCTAATAGGTTTTGAAGAATGTGGTGATATTAGATTCTATTTGGTCTCTAGGCTACTATTTTATACTTATAACATCAACACTAAAACGACGAATAAAACCATAGTATGATATTTGCTAGGAGTGCATTCTGATTCTGTAGTTAGTAGGAGTACATTTATTGTATGCTTTTTTACGTGGTAGAGCCATGCTGCAGCTATATTAGTAGTATAGTTGTAGCACGAATGGGTCGGATCGACCGGGGAAGGACCACGCACACATGGTGAGTGTAGAGAATCGGAGACCCTTTTTACTGGCAAAGAGGCATTCTGTCTTACTCCTCACGGGTGACAACGCATCTGCATCTTGAGTCTTTATTGACGATAGATGTAGATGTCTATGGGTCACAGTAACCTCTTACAATCAGGTGGAATGTGTGCTCGTTTGTCACCCTATCCTATAAAAAAAATTAATAAAAAATATTTTTTAGCGTGTAGTGACGACTTTCAATATTTATATATTTATTGTACATACGAATAAATATTGAAACTTGTTGATATCAGCTCCTCGTTACCAGTTAAAGACGTCTCCAGTTCTCGTCATGCCCTGTACGAAACAGCAGCATTATGCTGCTATTTATTCCGGTATTTTATGAGAGCGTAGATCTTATCTGTCCGGCCGACTCATTCCTGCTCGAGCGATAATTTGCAAGCGGCTTAGGGTAGAGTCTTTTTTTAGTTTTTGGGGGCAGACTTTTGTTTAATAGTGGGCTTGTTATGGGCTTGAATAATGATGATTGACGATTCTATTGTCATTGCTAACAAAGATAATTTATAAATAACAGGTGAAGGATCCGTTGATAGTGTCGCACTGGAACGCATTGAACAGTCCAACTCAGTCGTGCGTCAAAATCAACATAATGGCGTACGGGTAAGTGGATTTATTTTTAATTATTTAATACAATACAATACATATAATACAATTACTTTATTTGAGGCATCAAGGACTTAAAAATGAAGAACATTGGCTGAGATAGCAATATATTACTTAAATATATATAAACATAATACTATTTGAGGAACTTTCCTCTTTGGCGCGTCCCTGTATCGGCGAAACACTACCCCAGAGCCAGAAATCAGGAACGGGAAGTGTCTCTTTGTGTGTTTGCAGGTACTTGAAGTACGTAGGATTTGAATTTCGTTGACCTATTAGGCTCCAGGCGCTGCAAATGTAAAGAGATCGGATCCTCCACGCGGCATCGGTTTCGTTCTTCCACGAAACGCAGGACGTCTTCTCCCGACGTACTTTTGTCCAAACGGGTGATGTAGAGCTGTTAGGTGGGCTCCACACCACGCAGTTGTACTTGCGTTTATTTTGGCGGTCCCACGCTGTTTATAGACTGGTCTCGACCGACGTCTCTTCTGAACAAGAGTAAACACGTCATTATCAATCTTGTTTCGGGTCACCACTGGAACTGACGTTATATTCACATTCTTTCGTTTTCGACCAAAAGAGACCAGAAGTGTTAATGCATTGAAATAGTTATAATATTTCACTGCACCTTATGTCTCGTGTCTGCCTTTTATGAGACCTCATTATATTATTTGTCCTGCTATATTATATTATTCAACCTAATCTTGTATTGACGATGTTCTTAAAAACTCCTGAAAGCCTCTTAGGCCCGTAATAATAAACGTTACTCAGTTCAAGTACACGCACTTGAGTACAATATTGAGGTTATGATCTTATTAATAAACATATCCCAAGATGCGGTTTAGGTTTACGATATCAGCCGAGTGCCAAACTGATTAATTAACGAAACTCGGCTCTCAAGTGTGTATACTTGAGTGCAAGTCACAGAACAGTATTCCTAAGTACAGCGTTTTGAGATACTGTTTTTATATGTTTATTTATTAGCAACTGATATCGTAATGAGGGCGTATCAAATGATTACGCACTTGAGTTCGTCGTTGAGTAACGTTTATTAATACGGGCCTTAAATAAAGCATGTTTATAATGTTCCATGACTTATCTCATATCCATGGCCAATTTAACGACAGTTTAGTATTGTTAACAATTAAACTACAGAAATGTATATATATATATACATATATATTTATAACGCAAACTTTTTTTTTATGAATGAGAATTTCCGAACGCATTGCATCTACTTCCGGTGGAAGTAGATGCAATGCGTTCTGATAAATAAAAAATCTGATAAATCTGGATAAATACTCGTATATACAAATTACACAAATGTATGCAAATTAAATATTCTTAATTGAATAATAATTTTCTTATTGCATTCCGTTCAATTTAAAAATGTTTTCATTCAAAACTGGCCTCCTTTCCTTAGCACTTTTTTATAAGTAATCAAAAAATAAAGTTGATTATATGACAGAAACAGAAACTTTATATATAGATTATAAATAAAACTTATTCTTTCGTCTTTTGTATAATTTACCACTGGTTAGGAAAAAACCTCTAACCTGGGAATAACCAGTAAGAAATCCAGCTACTTTTTTTTTTGAAAAAAATCTGAAAAACTATTGACCCTGCCTAACAATACAAAACAAATTAGAAATAGCTTGGTAGGGACATACACGCCTTCGCTAAACTTTGCTAAAGTACAATGTACTTTAGCAAAGTTTAGCGAAGGCGTGTATGTAACATTCAAGATTATAAGTTCTTATTATGAGCTCTGCCCGTTACATATTAATAAACTGTTTGCTTGAACAGTATTCTTATGTAAATTGCGAAATTATGTTGAGAAAAAAGAACGAGTCACTCAAGAGTCCGCCCAGAGCTACTCAAACTAAAATTCTAAATTTGAAAGATTTTTTTGAGTTCACTGCAAGAAATAGAAAAATAAAATCATTGAATTGATATGTATGGAACACTAATAGATATAACGATCCATGAACAATTTAATTCATGTCAGGTATGACGCGGTCTGCCGAACTTCTCTAGTGGTACACGTGGGCGAGAAGACACTGAAATGCATCTGCCGCGATGGCAAAGTGCGCCATCTGTCCTATGAGTTGCAGGAGTTGAGGGATCTCATCTATTGTCAGGTTTGTTAAATGGATTACCTACTTACTGTTTGACACATTTACAAAGTCATGATAGTGGCATGATTCTAAAATGCGCTTGCGTTCGGCGTTGGGTACAAATCAAGTCGAAGGAACATAATAACCTAATAGTAATTATAACAAGTAATGAATGTCAAAATAATCGCAAATATATTATTTTTACTGCGTTTTTATTAACTTAATATCTTCCCGATGATATAGAGACTTGAGCTCACAACTGGAAACATGGTATAAAATAGTCATTTTTAAATTATAATTAATGTATTTATGACGACCATTGAAAATACAAAAAAGTATGTTACCGTAAGGTTCTGGTACGAGGACCAGTTCCGAAACCTAAATGAGAATCGTTAAGCATGTAGTTTATCGGTGTACGAGTGAAACTATACAAGTATTAACCTTTGATTATAATAATCAAAGTGAAACCTTTGATTAAATAATCAACTTGCTTGTCTTCATTGAGTAAGAGTTTTAAATTAAATTACGGCCGAAGTAATATTCTTCATTGAGTGAAAGTATTAAATTAAATTACGACCGAAGAAGTGGATGCAGTGGCCCATAGAGAGCTACTTTTATCCTCAATTAAGAATCAAGATGCAGATGCGTTGTCGCCCTTGAGGGCTAAGACGGAATGCCTCGTTTCCAGTCAAAAGGGCTTCACCATACCATCTGATCCATACGAAACACAGCAACGTGAAGCTGCTATTTTTCCCTGGTATTCTGTGAGAGCGCGGTTCTACCCCGTTCCAGCAGTCACATTCGGAAATTCTGATAAAAATGTTAAAGTAGGTGTATGGTCGGCAGATCTACCAGCACCAGATGACAGCGGTGCAGGCGGTGGGGCGCTGCATGGGCTGGCAGCTGCTGGCCAGCTCGGCGCACCTGGGCTCGGGGCCCGTCGAGCCGCTCGCCAACGCCTCCACCTGCCTGCTGGCCTCGCCCACCGGTACCGACTCACATTCTTAACTTATCATGCTTGCTCCCAAACTAAACAGACCCGCGAACCAACTAACATAACCTAAACTGAACAAACTAACAGATCTTAAACTGAACATTTAATCCCTTCCTTAAAACACTTGCTACCAAACTGAATACACTGCTCACATACTGAACACCTTCTCTCAGGGTGTTAAGTATGGGAGCAAATGCATTTTTAGGATAGTTTGTTTTTCAGGACCTTGTCAACACTTAACAAGATGGGGTCTGTGATAAATGTTATTCTATGATAATAAAGTAATAATGTCCTGTTCCTTGGCAAAAGCTTTGATGCATCACTAAGAAGACGCGCTACTTAATCTCATATAATGGATATTTTACATACTATACTTAAATAAGATAAACATATTGTAATCCCTTCCCTTCCTTTTTACAAGATTTTCGCTTTTAGCATACCATGGACGAAGACAATAGTCCATACAAACATACCCTTCTGTTTTCTCGCTGAATAGACAGGAGGTTTACGATTACTTTTTCAGTTTTAATTTTTCGTACATACATATAAAAATACTGTTACGAACTTGGGGTTCGAGACAATTAAAAACTGCCGATTGAATTACCAAAATTAACACTTTAATTACACAACACTAATTACAATCTAAAATCACACTAATAATAAAACACAGTTCGCCGTTATTTCGCTTCGAAGTATTCTCTTGTATCGCCAATTCAATACTGCCCCGGTCGTGGTCTATACCGGCCTTATATAGGGCCTCAGATAGTTTCCAGAACCTTCTACTGTAGCGACATCTAGAATGTTCGAGTACATATCGGTCCCGAAATTTCTGGAAGGATCTCGACTCTCCTAGTTCTGCTACTCGACACTAGAGGGCGCTAGTGTAACTAGTGTTGCCATGTACAAGACATTAATAGTGGCGCGCAACACTTTCATTTACTCGACACTAGGGGGCGCTAGTGTAACTAGTGTTGCCATGTACAAGACATTAATAGTGGCGCGCAACAATACATTACGCGATATCTTCGCTTATTGAGAATCGATTTCGGTTATTCTTTTTAATTAGATGGGTTATACTTCAGAGGTATGCAAAATAATGGATGAAGTTTTTAATGTAAGCGTTTAGGCGACATCAGACGACATTGAAATTTTAATATTCCTTAGTCCACTAAAAAGGGTAAAAAAATAAACTAAACTGTTAAACATAAGCGTAAAGAAAAATTAAAGCCTTATATATTCTTTTTAGTTCTTAGAAATCGGCTTTTACATTTTGTTAAAAGTTTCTTAGTATTATACGTGGTAGAGCCATGCTGCAGCTATATTTCTGGTATAGTTGTAACACGAATGGGTCGGCTCGACCGGGGAGGGACCACTCTCTCGCAGAATACCAGCGTAAAATAACAGCTTAATGCTGTTGTGTTTCGTATGATGAGTGTAGTGAACCGGAGACCCTTTTTACTGGAAACGAGGCATTCCACCTTAGTCCTCACGGGTGACAACGCATCTGTATTTTGATTCGTAATCGAGGATAAATGTAGATGTCTATAGGCCACAGCAACCACTTACCATCAGGTGGACTCTGTGCTCGTTTGTCACACTTATCCTATAAAAAAAAAGTTATTATTTACGATTCAATCTATATCTACCACTACCATGTTCACAATAATTTTAAAAACTATAGGAACATTTTCTATGTCATTCGGGTACATCGTGGCAGCAATAGATTGTTTAAAGCCTATCCTTCAAATTGCCCAGTGCCCGGATAATCGCTTATAAGCCCTTCCAGATGGTATTACATGGTATATACAACTCTTATTATCTTAAAACAATTGTACTCTATTGATCTGTACTACTATATACAGTGTTATTTTGCAATAACCAGAGGTTCAGAATAAGTAATACAGACAAATGGTGAAGGAGAAATAATTTAAAAAATCTGCCCTTTTTATCTTTTAAATTCAAAATGCATGGTTAATACACACATTCGTAAGGTTCGATCGGTAGGCAAAAACGTTGTTGCCCATAAATCGCATTCAATTTGGGATAATTACAAATAAAAATAGAAGCCTTATTTTTTCGTATTTGCAAAAACTGCATTAACAATATATCATTATTTATATATTTGAACTTAAGCTTAAAATTTGGCTACTCTGAAAAAAACCCTGTAGGCCTGTCTGTGGAATTACTATAATCTATAAAACAACTTTCGGCGTGATTTATAAAATCGATACTACGTGTTCACTTCATGAATGCCGTTACCTCCAGCCGCGCTCCCTCATACCGCGCCTCAAGCCCATATAGTACCGATAGCAACGCTGAAATGTATCTACGTCCGTTGTTTGTACTCCCGTGCGATCTCTTGTTTGTTACTGTTTTTGTTGTTTTTATCACTGTTAATTTTTTGTTTCGATTGACTTTTTACGTTCGTTAATTTGTGATAAACACAGAATGTAGTATGGTAGTGATACAGGGACGAACGATTTTGATAAAATAACTGGTATGGAAGTTATGGATTACAAATAACTACCTGCTAGTTTTTTTTCGCGCCTTCGTAAAATAATTTATTTAGAATATATAATAAAACTATAATAAAAATATTTTATTTTATCGGACACAGTGTTATTATTTTACTTTACTAACTAAATAAATTATTCAATAATATGCATTTTATCTACTTGCTTACCCTCCGTTTCTTTGTACAAGACAACAAACTAAAAATCGAACTTCGTACAATAATTTAAACAGTTACAATAATAGTTTTGTCTACGGTACCGTTAGCTGTGACGTCATAACGGTCGGCGACGGCAAACTCGAAATGAACGCGTAGTACTTTCATCTATTTTGACTGCCTCGTTGGTCTCGTGATCGTAAACAAAGATACCGAATTCAAAACCCAGATCGAGTCTAAAAAAATCAGTATTTTTTTGTCAATTCTCAGAAGCAGCCCAGTCAGAAGTTTGCGGTGTTTCGTCCTTTTGCATAGGAAAGCACGTAAAGCCGTTAGTCCTGCGCTTGATCTTTGGTCGTGTCGGTTTGCCGTTCTATCAGGATATGATTGAGGAAATAGAGTGAATTATGCTTACGCATATATTCGGACACTATAACCCTATCCTGCGTAGATGGCTAGTTACCGTTGAAACTCGAGGCCGTGACCGAAATCGGTTGTAGGTTTGAAGGACATTATGAAAGTTAAACATCATTAATAAATTTTGTCTTGTTGCAGGTGACAGAATGATAGCAATAAGGTGTGAACCATCAGTGGGTATTCAAGTCTTCATAGCTCAGTCTCCCAGGAAGGACTTCTTTGCAAGTGAATTAGTACAAGATAAGAAATGGGAGAACCTGGGTGGCGCCTTCAAAGAAATTAAATTAGAAAAAATGGAAGGCAAAAACTTTCTAAATAAGATGGAATTGCTGATGGCATGCCTAAGCAGCCCTTCATAACTTATTTAATAGTAATAACTTTTAATACCTATATAAGAATAAAATAAAACATTCAAGAAAGAATCATATCTTTCATTTATTATAATATGTAGAAGTCTTAATTTGTAGGTGCTTAGGTAAAATGTTTAATTATTCATTGAAGATTGTTCTTGCTTATCTATGTCTCAACGTCAGTGCAGACTCGAGATCAGAAAATCCAAGGAACTGAAAATAAAATCATATAATCAAACTACTTTAAAAACATTTTATCGCAATATGATGATGATGAACAATTTGTAAATTCACATGGTGATTAGTAATTATTGCAAAAGACCAACACAAAAAACTATTCTTATAGAAAAATTTTTTTAGTATCCTAACCTAAAACATTCTCTTTTAACTTATTATACTATGACAATAATATTATGGTCTTATTCATAAAAATAAATACAAGAACTTTTGTAAGGTCTAAATAGTATCTATATATAAAGAAATTAACAGTACTGTATTCATCAATACAGTTCGACAATAGTATATATATATATATATACAATGAATAAAATAGTCCTGCTCTGATCAATATAACCACACTGCATTGTTACATCAGTGAATAAAAATAGTGAGTTTAAAACACTTCTGTTTGTCTGTATAACGAAAGATTACACGCTTTTATCGTAGCGCAACACTTGTTACCAATATAAACTGCCAACTTCTGAAAAATTAAGGAAGTTAAATTTCTTTAAAAGAGGGTATTGAAATTTTCGAAAAAAAAAAAATACTAATGTAGACACAGACAATAGAGTTAGATGGTTCCAGCTTATTCCAAGGATAATGAATTTTCATCAATTCACACTTCTCCAGAATTTTAAGATGTTATGTGACATAAAACTCTTAATGCAAAATACTTTCTAATTCATATTAAAATAAATTTTGATGAAAAGCTATATATTTCTTTTATTTCTGTTCAATTATCGTTTAATGTCATGCCTTAAATTTTGTAACTAAAATTTAATGATTATTTAAAAATGGTACAAGTAAACTAATCAAGAATACTCTCTAGCAGATACACATCACTACTAAAGCAGACTGGCTGTGTATTATTATAAATATATTATTATTTATTTTACAATTTGTAGGTTTTGTATAGGTGAAGCAATTATGTGCATTACATATCTGGGGTCTCAATATGTAAACTATTTTTTATATGTGTATGGTCGGTCTTGTTGTTGAAATTTTGGGGTGAATGTATTGTTCTGCAGTTGTGTGAGTAAATGACAGGGTGTAACCTCATACAAACTGTGTCTCCATTTATCTTTCATTCAGTAAATTTTCTACCAATTTAGAATATTTGGTAATGGATATAGTATAAGAAAAATAAGTATTACCAATTAAGAACTTTAACCCTTTCCCCGTCCTGTGATTTATATATGAACATTTCAATTGTTTAACATAGATGTTTATACTTAAAACCTATGAGAAACTAAATCTATTAAAATATTATGAAATTACCCCCATTTATTAATTTCAATTGAATGAGCCATTAGTCAGCTAAACTAAAATAAAAGAGGAAATAACAAATTTTCTTCATTTGTATGGTATTGATAAATGTTTAATAAAGTTATATTTATATGCATAAAATTAATGTATTAACCCTAGAAGCCCAATCTACGTAAATTTGACGTATACCGCGGCGAAATATCTCTGTCTCTTTCACGTTTACCGTCGGATCGCCGCTAACTTCTGAACCAACTCAGTAGCCATTGAGACCTCGCAGGACACAGTTGCGTTATCTCGGTAAGTGCCGCCATTTTGTTGTAATAGAGAGGTTGCACGTCATTTTGACGTATATAATTGGGCTTTGTGTAACTTTTGAAATTGTTTCTAAATTTTTGTGATTTATTTGAGTTAATCGTATTGTTTCGTTACATTTTTCATATAATATTAATATTTTCAGGTTGAATACAAAATGGAGTCCCGTCAATGGCTAAACCAGGACGAAATGGCTACAATTTTAGAAAATGATGACGATTATTCTCCGCTGGATTCGGACTGCGAGGAAGAAGATCGTGTAGTTGAAGATGATGTCTGGAGTGATAACGAGGACGCCATGGTCGACTTCGTTGAAGATACAAGCAGGCAAGAGGACCTCGATAACAATAGTTTCTCGGGAATCGCCTAATCTTGAGGTAACTTCATTGACTTCACACAGAATAATTAGTTTGCCTCAGCGGTCAATACGTGGAAAAACAACCATGTATGGTCAACTACAAAGGGACGTACTACGGGAAGGACTTCTGCTATCAATATTATACGCACAAATAGGGGACCAACGCGAATGTGTCGCAATATTGTTGACCCATTGCTTTGTTTTCAACTTTTTATAACAGACGAGATAATTCATGAAATAGTAAAGTGGACAAACGTAGAGATCGACAAAATTTGAAAAACATTTCAAGCTACAGGGATACCAATACAATGGAGATCTGGGCGTTAGTCGGAATTCCCACTCTGACGGCTGCTATGAAAGATACCACCTCTCAAATGATGAGTTATTTGACGCTATATTCTCTGGCACCAGGTATGTATCAGTAATGAGCCAAGAGAGATTTGAATTCCTAATAAGATGTTTGAGAATGGACGATAAAACTCTGCGACCAACTCTTCGTAGCGATGATGCTCTTTTACCGGTGAGAAAAATATGAGAGATTTTTATCAATCAATGCAGACAAAACTACGTTCCTGGCAGTAACTTGACTGTAGATGAGGGACTGTTGGGTTTTCGCGGCCGTTGTCCAATCCGGATATATATTCCTAATAAACCTGATAAATATGGCATAAAATTCCCCATGATGTGTGACGCTGCCACAAAGTACATGATAGATGCCATACCTAAAAGTACGAAAACAAATGGTTTACCACTGGGTGAGTTTTATGTAAAAGAGCTGACTAAAACGGTACACAGCACAAATAGAAATGTTACCTGCAACAACTGGTTCACGTCTATCCCATTAGCCAAGAACATGCTCTAGGCTCCATACAACCTAATAACAGTAGGAACCATCAGGTCTAACAAAAGAGAAATACCTGAAGAGGTCAAGAATTCTCGCTCACGGCCGGTAGGATCCTCAATGTTTTGCTTTGATGGCCCTTTGACCTTGGTTTCCTATAAACCAAAGCCGTCGAAAATGGTATTTTTATTGTCTTCTTGTGATGAAAATGCCGTTATCAATGAAAGTAACGGAAAACCGGACATGATATTGTTTTACAATCAAACAAAAGGTGGCGTTGATTCCTTTGATCAGATGTGTAAGTCTATGTCTGCTAACAGGAAGACTAAATAGGTGGCCGATGGCAGTCTTTTAAGGGATGTTGAATATGGCGTTTGTGAACTCCAACATAATATACTGTCACAATAAGATAAATAAACAAGAAAAACCAATGAGCCCACACCAATAAGAACACAATATTGATGTTTGTCAAGACTGTATATAAAGACTGTTTTTTTCTAAGAGACTTATAAAGTATTATTACAAGTTGATTTAATTTTATGAAAAAATTTAAAACTAGTTGATTTTTTTTATAATTACATTAATTTAATAAAAAGTGTTAAGAGGTGTGATTTTTTTTGTTGATTTTTTTCTAAGATTTGATTAAAGTGCCATAATTGTATAATAGGAAAACTCTGAAGTTTTATTTTTACACATCATTTTTACGTATGATTGGGCTTTATAGCTAGTTAAATATGATTGGGCTTCTAGGGTTAAACTTATTTCTTAAGTATATAAAACTGTTAAAAATTAAAAAGAACAAGTATACACTTAATCTGAGAAATAATCTCAAATGATTTGCTTTAAGGGGAAAAATACTAATTGCAATGCTGTGAAAAAATAAACAACTACAATTGTTTGGTTTTGTTAAATGATAAGAAGACCATAATATTATATGTCATGAACAGACAACTCGAGCCTTACAATTCTTCACACAGCACACAGACGGTCTTAAAATCATCTACAAGTGAACAAGTTTTTGCATTTCAGACTATTCTTTAAAACTAATTTACTTTAATTTCTGTGGTAAAGCAGTCTAAACAAGATAATATTTATGCTTATTTCTACTTTTAGTATTTTGCAAGTGGCAGTATATAATAAAAAGCATACATTGCTTATTTACCTAAACTCCTTATAACTAATGTTTAATCATAATTATCATTAATTAATTCCTCTCATTTCATGTTAATTTAACAGTCCAAATAAAGCTTTTTTACATAAATCAAAGAAGAACTAAAATCCCATCCAATGGTAAGAATAAAGAAAACCTTTGGTTCAAATGCATGGTATGTTGACAATTAAGAGTTGAAAGTTTGTACTCTGTTGAAACTACTACAAAAGACTGAAAATTACATGTTAAATAGGTAGTAGGTAAAATTCATTAACAATTTAATTTGCAAAAAATTTACCTATAATGTTGCATGAAATTTTTTAAATCATAGCATAGGTCGTGGGTAAATGTTGAGTCATTGAATTGTAAGGACCTTATTTTAAAATGCTATGCAATTTCTAAGTCAGTTTCTTATTGGGTTTTGATTATTATTTTCATTGCAAGCGATTTATCAAAGTGAAACTGTTATGGGTCACAAAGTTTATCAATATTTATATTAAATAGCACAGTGATAAGCTTTCTCTAAGTTGTCAACTTCTTTTCTTTTGAATCTACATGGTATAACAAAGACACTTCCCGCCTTCTGTATGCTTAAATCTTTTAGACTACACAATGGATACTGATGAGGTTTTCATCAATAGACAGAATGATTCAAGAGGAAGGTTTATATATTATATAATTCTTCTGTCCGTGTGAACATGACTGAACTCCTAAACACTAGTGATTTTGATGAAATTTTGTGTGATTAGGTTGATTAGAGAATGGCTTAGAAGTTAGATTAACAATTGGACCCGGTAGGTAGCGTTATAGTCGAGGTCCAGAAATCAACCGTGCGAGGCCAGGGTGGATCGCTAGGATTGTCATATACCATGAAACCATTTGGTTAATACTTCTTTAATGTTAATATTATTTACCATTGACTAATATGTTAAATTTAAAGACATCCTTTATTTCTATAATTTTTTTTTAGTATACATGAAATGAGCAGGAAACTAGATAAGCGAGCGAGATACAAAACAAAACATACAATATTAAAATTTGTAAAGAATTTTAGGCATTAAAAATGGATATTTAACATTTGTCATGTGTCAAATGAGATGTATGATACCAATATTATGATATTGAAAGTACATACCATCATTAATACTGAAACTTCTTTACAAATACAAAAAGGAAAATAAGTGCATATTACCTCTAATTCCTTAGGTCAATGATGTCAATGGAATTCTTCCGAGCATTAAACCCCCCCCGTAAAGACAGACATTGATTAACACTTGGAAGGCTTCAGATAATATTAACACTAAACCTAACTATAAGCTAAAATTAAATTAGATGTGCTCTATAGGGGCGACCTAGACCTCATATTATTGCCACCAGAGGAATACTTGTTGTATGACTGGCCTCCGTTGCGGTTGAAAGGCCTGCCGCCGCCGCCACCACTGCCATTGAAAGAGTTGTAGGATCTGTTGTTACCTCCGGGTGGGCCGAATGAGCGTCCCCCCCTGAAATTACCACCTCGGCCTCCTCTGAAGTTTCCACCCCGACGCGGACCGTCACGTTTCCTCGATAATTCTACTTTAAGTGTCGCGCCTAACATTTCAAAACCATTCATCGCGCTACACGCATCTTCTGCTTCCTGCATGTTTTCAAATTCTATGAACGCAAATCCGGGGGGATTGAGTGCTACCCAAACGGAATTCAGTTTTCCGTATTTGTCAAATTCTCTTTCGAGATCTTCTTTCTTTATGCCCTCTACGAGCCCACCGACATACACACGTGTTCCACCTGAACTCATTTTGCTTATTTATATCTAAAAAAATATAAAGACAAAATGAGTGAAATAAATATTTAAATACAATGAACAAACAAAATGTCGACGCAGTGGCAATGCCACGCCAACTCAACACGCTCACTCAAAACAAAGAAATGAAGAACTTACGTGTGCTAAATTGACGACGAATACTTTATTATAGTTTTTGTAACTAAAATTTGTATTTTTTTAATAAATAAACTGTAAAATATAAGGAATTATTTATTTTAATATGAAACAAAACGAAAAACGGATTGATCGAATTGAAGAGTGAATGGTAAGAGGCGGAACAAACAAGAGACGCGTTGAATGAACAAATTTAGTATTTAGTTGCCATACCTAAAATTATGAAACAGAAAATATAAACACTTTTCAAATAAAAGGAATTAATTGATTGTATTTATAGATTTATTGAAATATTTTTATTTTATTAATAAATGAAAATTATAATTTCATGACGACGGTTTTTGAAATAATTTATATTTTTTTACAAATTTGAGAATGATTGAATGATAATTTAGTGAAAGAGCGGAACTTGGTCTTAGAACGGAAAAGTGAACGTACGAGTATTTTAATGGAGGGAGGAGGCTTTCGATTTGAAATGTGTGAACGTGAAGCAGGTGGGAGGGCAGGGAGGATGAAACTAAGTATAACTATATGTACAAAACCTACCAAACGACTTTGTTCAACGGTCGCGCCTTTACCTCAGTTTCAGCGCGGTTTATTTTCTGTTACAACCGACCCCACCTTTGTTTAGTTGTTTTGATATTAGTTTGAAGTATTTAAATGTATTCTATTATTTAAAAAAATAATTTACAAAATGTATTACAACACTACAGGACAATTCATCTATTTGGTGTTTAGATAAGTGTTCATGTAAGGAGCATTAAGAAAAGTGAAATGAAAATTTTTGTGTTCAGTTAGTGGATAATGGAATGCTCTAAAGATATGGGGTTACAAAAGAGGCATAGTCAGTTTAGCGATACTAAATATAAATGGAGGACAGTGTTAGTACTTGTGATGTGTTTCGTATATACTTGTGATGGACAAGCTCCAAGAGTTGCTGAAATAGACCCTTATTTACTAAATAAGTCGTTAGGACTGACTGAGTTACCTGGTGGTATAATAGCTGGAGGCCGGTCACTGTGGAAATTCAATGGAAGCCCATATCTTCTTAGAGATGATCTGCTGGTAGAAAGAGAAGCCGAATTAGTGATAGAACCAGGAGTAGAAGTTAAATTTGCCCCCATGGTTGGAATTACCGTTCGCGGGAAGTTAGTTGCTGTGGTAAGTTTTTACGACTTTACTTAAATTTATAGTAAGTAATAAGTACCTACCTATCTTATGTTTTCATTTATTACTCCTGTTGTTTGTCGTCGTAATAATGAAGGAAAAGTGTCAAGATAGTTAGCCAACCTTCCTGGGTTCTGTGGGACAGTCCCGCAGCAGTGTTTTGTAGTTCCGGTGTGTATCAATTAATACAATCGATCCACGACTGCCTCGTCGGTCTAGTGCCCGTAAAGGCGGTTGGTTGCTGATCATGAGGTTCCTTGTTCGAATCCCGGGTCTTTCCAGTTTTCCAGTCAAGAAATTCTCAGTAGCAGCCTTGATTCAGCCGTTGGTCCTGCGCCTGATCTCCTCCGGTCGTGTCGGATTACCATCCTATAGGACTATGAGAGTGAGGGAATACAGAGTGCATCTGAGTGCACTGTAATCCTGTCCTGCGCAGATGGCTAGTCTCCGTTTAGCCTGGCCGTGACATTATTATTATTATTAATCCAATAATATCTGATTTGTGGTCAAATCTATCATTTTAACACAGGAATTTACAAGTCTACTGCTGAACTGAGGTCTCTCCCAAGGAAAACTACAATGCTTAATCCTGAACCACCTTCATCTATCTACTTCCTGCACGTCTTATTAAGTTGTCACTTCATCCCATTTCTACCTCAACTTAGGTACTTATTTGAAAAAACACCAAGAAAAATATAACTACTTTTCGAACGTGTGTATTTTTCAAAACAAATTTTGATACATTTTATTAATTTATTCTGTATTGCTTTCCCTTGCTAAAACATGTTAAGCTTAAATATTCTGATATGAATGAATACGTTTAAATATTCTGATAAATATTTTCCATTAAGCTAATACCAAGAAATTCATAATCCTGTTCATCACCTTATTATTTTTAATACGAATATGAAAATCTTAAGGAAAATCAACTTTAAACTTAATAAAATGTATTTTTACATAACAATACATATCGCGGGATCAATTCCAATCAGCTAATAGGTATTATGGTCACTCCACTGTCAGAGCAAGTCTTACTAGAAATTTACCGTAGTATTAAAAAAAACCAAGTTGTAACATTGAAAGTTTTGTACAACCATCTTCAATATAAATTGATAAGGATAACTCAAACTACTTTTGACAACATGAGAAGCACCAGCTGTCAAATTAAAAAAGAATCGTCGCAATCGGTTCACCTAGAAAAAAGTTATGAGGTAACACACGTAAAACACAGTGAATTGAATACCTTCTCCTTTTTGAAGTAGGTTAAAAATTCAATAAAGTACCTAATTTTTAAGTCGTATTATAGTCTTTTTACGCGGTAGAGCCACGTTGCAGTTGGTGTATCATGGCTACATCACGAATAAGGTCTACTCGACCGTGGAAGCACCATGCTCACACAGAATACCAGGCGTGAAATATCGGTTGGATTTCAAATAACTCCTTTTAACATGAGCTATCTGCCAGTAAAAGAAATCGCTTTAGCCATTTCGGAGTCATTAGCCGTAACATAACAAAGAGACAGAAAAAAAATTTAAATAACAAAAAGTTAAAACCGACTTCAAACTGCTAAAATATAAGTTATTTATTTGCTACATTAAGGGTGGACATTTTTCTCCAAATATAGGGACCACCCTTGAAGTACAACGTAGGTATTTAATAAAAACAATCATTAAAATCGGTTCTAAATCTGCGAAGATATCATAATATGAAATTCCTTAAACAATAGTTCAATATGAAACTTTTTCCCCTATTTTGCACCCTTCAAAACTTAATGGGACCACCCTTGAGGTAAAGCCAATTTAAGTAATAAAAATAATCATTAAAATCGGTTCACAATTTGCAAAGATATCGCGTAACATGCATACAAAAAAAAACACGCGAATTAAGAACCTTCTCCTTTTTGACGTCGGTTAAAAATTAATTGTTGTCTTATATAAAATTATTTAAAAAATATAAGTACCGTAGGTATATACTTTCAGAAGTATTTAGTAAGAAAAAACTGTCAATCGTAGGACTGTACATCAGAAGTGAAAAGCTTCTTTCTTAGCTTCAGAAACTTGTAAAATTTATTTTTGACATATTTTTTAGGAAGTATTTTTTTTTTAGAAATTATTTTCTTCAACGTATTAATAAAGTAATAAAATGTTCATTTATTGCGCTGTTGTACATGAAAAATAATAATAATTATTATCTATATAATACAAACAAATTTATAAACACATCTGTATAATATAATATGTAGGTATAGTGAGGTCACGCGAGCTCAGTGTTTATTCCCCATCCCAAAGGTGCCAAATGTGTCTAAAGAAATTTTCGTTTTAAATAGCTATTATTTTGGCATTACAAGTACTTCAATTTTATTTATTTGTGTATATGGTCTAGCAGTTACCAGTGTTAAAGAATATTATAGTCACTATTTCAACAATTGTATTCCATTTTTAAACACGATCGATTTTCCTGATAATCTGACTTATCGAATATATCGATATGTAGGAAGTAGATACAGGTAGATACACTGAGTAATAGTCTGTACATTATGTGTAGGGAGCTAGTTTTAACAATCAATAAACGTCACGTTGGCCGTCTCATTACAAAACGTGGCATAAAGTCTAGTAGTTAGTAGTCTCGGGTTTAATAAAGAGTTTCTCACAAAAGAAGTAATTTAGTCGCGGAGACATCCACAGCCATCACGAAATTTTGACATTTACCGGCAAATTACATACTTTATACTTTAGCTATTCCACAGTTATTGCTTGTTGTTTTACCTATGTTCAGCAGTGCACTTATGAAGGCTGTAATGATGGTGATGGTGATGATGATGATGATGATGATTTTCCAGAGGACTTCTTTATTAAAACAGACTAGTTTTAACCTCAGACTACATACTTTTTTAAATAGCCCGCAGGTGTTTGCGGCTTGTAGAAATCGATTTTACTTCGTTTGTATTGCTTATTAAATAATTAAACCATTTTAACATAAGTAGTTACCATTTGTGCAACAATTGAGTGAGATAAAAAACTACTAAAATGTATTGTTTAAATTTCTCTCACTAAACAAAAATTAAACAGCCGCAAGTTAAATCCAATAATATTAACACTTAATTACGTAAAAGTTTGCGTAAGTAAGCGTAAGGTCTAAATAAGATCAGAATTTTCTAACTGCAGATACGGCAATTTATCATCGTATCACTCTACTTAATAACAAACTAGCAGCTAAAAGAAAAAAATATATAGGATAAGTGGGACAAACGAGCACACAGTCCGGCTGATGGTAAGTGGTTGCTGTGGCCAAGATAGAATGCCTCGTTTCCAGTAAAAAGGGTCTGTAGTCTCTACATTCACCATACTAAAAACAGCAGCGTTAAGCTGCTATTTTACGCTGGTATTCCTGTTCGCTGCAGCATGACACTACCACGTAAATGAAATTTAAAGAATAAAAAATCTATTGATAAAACTTGGTGGGTTATTAAAATTACAACACTGTTGACAAAAATCTTTGATCCATTAACATTTGCAATACGCATTGAACATTTCTTCTATAAAATACAATTTTAGTCGTACCTTTCATAGGAGCGCCCTCGTTATAGTAAAATTCCGCGATAAAGCTCTGATAGCGATATCGGGCACTTGCGATATTGATTTATTCACCTGTTATGTGTTACATTACATATATAGGCCATCATTTTTAGTCCACTACACATGTCTTTAAATTATATATAGGTACCTTTGCGGATAGATATTTTCTATAGAATACGGGTGATAAAATTCCACCTGATGGGAAGTGGAGCTGTGGCCCATATACATCTACATCTTAATACTTCTATATTATTTAATATCTAGCATATACGAGACAGTTATTTTTTTTCGCTATCTATAAATTTCATCTTAGTCCTCAGGGTTGTCAATGCATCTGCGACCTTCGTTGCTTATAGTTGGTTGCAAATGTTCATAAATCCATAGGCTGCAGTAGCCACATAACATCAGGTGGACTGTTATCTCATTTGACACAATACTTTAATTAAAAAGTGTAAAAACTTGACGCGACAAAACGTTCCAATCTTTATTTTAGGCGTTCGTAGAATTAAACTATTAAGTAATCTGTGGTAGAATAGAACATAGTACCTACGCGCTTCGCGCATAAGGCATGCTATACGATCTTTTTGTCCCAGTTTGACTTTTTCCCTACCACCCACCTACTCTATAAGACGGGATCACGGGATCATGGTTACTCTTATGCGGTTATTACACGATGTCCAATCATTTTAATTCATCATCATTATCACAGCCTATCCATCTCTGAACATCTACAGAGGTATTTCAGCCCTCTTAATTTCATAATGCGAGCAACCTGGCACGACTTCCACCGGCACCGCTAAAATTTAATTATTTGTATTTTAAAAGCTTAATACAAATGCTGCAATGTAAAGGAATGCTTCGTGAGCAATCTTACTGATTTTTTATAGGATAAGGGTGACAAGCGAGCACACAGTCCACCTATGTAAGTGGTTGCTGTGGCCCATAGACATTTACATCTATCCACGTTTACGAATCAAAATGCAGATGCATTATCAGCAATGAGAACTGGATAGAATGCCTCTTTTCCAGTAAAAAGCGTCTCCGATTCTCTACATTCACCATACGAAACAAAGCAGCATTAAGCTACTATTTTACGCTAGTATTCAGTGAGAGCGTGGTCCTTCCTCGGTCGAGCCCACCAATTCGTACTACAACTATACAATTAATATTGCCGCAGCATGGCTCTACCACGTTGAAAATGTTTGAGAAATAACAAATTATTAAAGAATTTGTTACATCTGCCAAGATCCCGAAAGTGGTGACTATGGGAATTGCTAAAGAGCTTTGGGTTTTTCAGTAACTATTCGTATTATCATGACGTATAATTAAACCAATGGTAAAATATCCAGACCGGCGACAAGAAGCAGTACCAATGGTTTGAGACGTGTGATAGTGATTCAGAGATAGCCAAACAGCCTA